CCGCAGGTGTGTCTTTCTGCTCACTAAGTCCCGGAGATGCGCCCGTCCGCCTTCCGGCGGCACGCATCCCAGCGGCGCACGTCCCCTCCCCGCTAGCGGTCGCAGCTTCGGCTGCCGCCTCGGAAGCCGCCCAAAAGATTTCACCTGGAATGCAGTCAGTCACACGTGGTTAGCGGCGCCGCCCACCTCCTCCTCCGCTGCACGGCGGGCGGTCCCGCGCCCGGGTCGCCGGCGCCCCCGACCTCCGCCGTCCGAGTCGCCGAAACGGGGCCGCCGTCAGCGTCGGCTATTTTCCCAATCGATGATTCGAGCCGCGCCGGGCGACCGGCGGGAGGTTGCGGGCCGAGTACCGAGTCGGCGCCTGCCCCCCCGCGCCCCGGCTTGAGTGACGCGAGGTCCCAAAGACAAGGAGGCGGCCCGCGCTCGCGCTCGGCCTCTTCTCAACTCGCCGAGTGGGCGCAAGGGAACCCGCTTTTTGTTGTTTGTCATCCCATTTGCGGGCACGACGACGAAGCAATTTGGCTCCGCGGCGCGACGACTTGGCAGAGGAAATGTCCCAAAAGCGGAGGCGGGTTGAGCGCGGACAACGACGTGCGGCGGAAAAGGGAAGACGGCGACAAAGGGTGGACGCGTGGCGATGCGCGTTTACCGGAATAGTCTGGTGAACTCCCTGATGGCCCAACACACCTGCTTACATTCATCGGCACTGCAAAAGGAGAAAGCGACTTAGGCCCCCGAGGCCCCCGAGGCCGCGTGCGCTCGCGGCCTCGGGGGCCGACGCTCACCTGGTGACCTGTTTGTGGAAGTCGGTCAGCTGCTTGTGCGTCACCGTGACGGCTCCTCCCGACGTCTCCTTGGGCAAGCCTTTCAGGGCGCTCTCCAACCAGCGGCAGAACGTCTGCGAGGAGGACGCGTCAGCGGGGGGCCGAGCGAGCGGGCCGGCGCGCGGGCGCCTACTCACCGGCCGGTCGAACGCCATCACCTCCCACAGGACCTCGGCGATGTCGGGCAAGGTGTAGGGCGGCAGGCAGAAGCAACAGGAATGCATGAGCTGCGTGACCAGCTGCTGGCCGTGCTGCTCCATGGCCTGACCGATCAGCCGCTTGCGCAGGTCAAAGTCCTCCGTGTGCTTGAGGGAGGGACGGACACAAAGCGGGCCACGTTTGCGCTCGGCTCCCGGGAAGGCCCGGCCGGACGTCGCCGCTCTTACGTCGTTGGCCACGCCGGTGTGGATGAGGTCTCGCACGAACTTCATCACGCTGCAGTTGGCGTCTCGGTGGTCCAGCGAGGTGGCGGCGATGGCGCACTGGATGATGTGCACGATGATGCTGCTGCTCAGCAGCGTGACGGGACTCCGCTGCACGAACCTGAAGGCAAAGATGGCACGGCTCTCTCTCTCACGCGGACAGCGAGAAAGCCCAACCGGTGGGGACGTCCCGATCCGATCGCATCGTCGCAAATCGGGAAAAAAAATAAATAAATACAAGATTGCTTGACTCCATTTTCTCAAATGTTAATTGGAAGCTCCACGCATCAAACAGTGATAGCTTCATTTTCTAAAAGCCGTTGGCACGGATTAAATCCAAATATGACACATGGATGTAGCGCACGTACAAGTCCGTATTTCCATTTCGATGTGAAATTGAGACCGTTTGTAGGTGCGCTTTTTTTTTTGCCGAGGTATCCGATGGGCATTCGGTATTGGCAGATCCTATCGAATCAAAGACTCGGACTCGAGTGCCCAAAAGCGCGATGCCAACGCACCTGGTGGCCAGTCTGAAGAGGTCGTCGACGGTGTCGGGGTGGTTGAGCAGCCCGTTGGCTTGCTCCAACAGCTGAAACGTCGGCATGCACAAAGCCTGAGAGGCAAAGAGCGCAACGCGGTCAGCGCGAGCGGCCGCGACGGGCCGAGCGCCGGCGCGGCTCACCTGCAACATGTCGAGCAGACCCTGCCGACAGCCCTCCTCCATCCCGTACTCGTCCACCAGGATGCTGCCCAGGTACAAGAAGCACGAGTGCGGATACACCCGGTACACGCTCACCATCTGACACACACACACAAGGCGTGAGCGCCCCGCCCGCCTCCCCGACCCTTCCGTCCGTCCGTCCGTTCCCTCCACCTGAGTGACCAGCGGCTGCAGCAAGGAGGCGGAGCCTTTTCCCACGCAGCGCACGGCAAAGCGGAGGCAGCGGCAGCATCGTTCCACGATCCGGTTGTCCGCCTGGTGAGCGTTGAGCGTCTCGGACAGCACGGGCCAGATCTGCGAGCGGCGGGCGCAAGCTCAAAGCGACGCCTTTGCCGGCTTGGGGGGCGGCGACCGGTCGCTCGCTTTACCTCCTGGATGACCTTTTGACAGGGGTGCGTCTGTCCGTTCTCCACGATGGGGTTGGTGTGTCTGAAAAGGGCCGAGCGAGCGCTCAGTTCGCCGTCCGCGGGCGGCCCGAGCCGGAGCCTCACCTGAAAATGACGGCCAGCCTGTCCAGCCAGACGGTCGGATCGGCCGAGCGACCGTTGGGCGATTCCTCGGCCAGGAGCTGCGAGGGCAAAAGAGGGGTTTTTGCGGGCCCGGCGGCAAACGGGACGGACGAGCGGCGAAGGGGGGGGGGGGGCGCGGACCTTTTTCAGCGCCGCCACCTGAACGGCGCACAAGTCGCCGAGGCACTCGGCGATCTTGTCGAGAGGCAGGCGACCGAGGACCAGAGCCGTACCTGCCGGTTGAAAAGGGCCGGCCGGTCACTTCTCGCGGCGGCCGGGCGAGCCTCGCCCCAAACGCGTCGTCGGCGCGGCGGGTACCTTTGAGCAGTCCGACGGCGGCCTCGGTGGACAGCGCGAAGGAGTCCAGCGAGCGAGCGATGTCCAGGAGTCCCTGGAAGTGCTGCGCCATGTGGTCCCTGCATACGGAGCAGATGTTGTGGATGGCCTTGGCGGCGGCCGAGGCCAGGGGTTTCTCGCGCAGGCCTTTCATCAGGTAGTTCAACACCGGGTCTGCCGCGAAAAGGGACAGCGTCTTCGCGTTGCGCTCCCGAACGAGTCGGCGACGGCGTTTGCACCCTCACCGAGGAATCGGGGGTTCCGGTCTACGACCTCGCTCATCTCGCCCACCAGCTCGATGCTGGTGTAACGCACCGCCGTGTGGACGCCGTCCGGCAGCATCACGACTTGCTGCAACACCTCCAACAGGGTCGGGTTGTTCTCACTGAAACGGGGGCCACACACCGGCTCGCGTTCACCTTTTGGGGTTCCGACGCCCCCCCCCGACCCCCCCCCACCGAAAACACAACGCGGCTCACGGGTCGACGCTTTTGGCGATGGCGGCCATGATGAAGAGGACGGCTTCGGTCACCACCCAGGGAGGGTTCCCGTCTTTGAGGGTGGAATACAACTGAGGAGAGAAAGCGAGCGTCAGCGGCCGGCCGGCCGGACGGACGGACGGCCTCGGCGCTGGCCTCACCTGAGAGAAACACTCCATCGAGCCCACGAGGAAGATGACGTCTTTCACCAGGTCCGAAACTCTCATGCGGAACTCGCCAAAGTCGTCCGTCTCCTCGGGAACGCCTTCCTGCGCGAAGCCGAGGCGCAGCGCTGAGAGCGGCCGGCGCGCGCCAGGCGGGGCTCGGCGGCGGCGGCGGCACTCACGTGGTCGGGCTCCAACTGGCAATGTCGGGCCAGGCAGTGCAGGAGTCTCTGGATGTACGGCCGGAAAACGCCGTGGAGGCCCGCGTCGTTGATCTTGTAGAGGTTTTCGCCCAGCCGGTACCAGAAGTTGAAGGAGATTTCCACCACCTGGAGCGCACCTCGGCATGAGTGGCTCGCGGGCGCGTGGCTACCTCGTACTGGGGGTGTCCGGCGCAGATCAACAGCAGCTCCAGCGTCCGCAAGTCTCCCATTCCCTGACCCGGACTCCTGACCGTGGTCTCCAAGAAGGTCTCGCACAGCTCCGTGAAGATTCGGCAATAGTTAAGGACTCTGGGGGGGGCACGGAAAGGGCGTCACCGACGGCGGCGGCGCCGAAAGCCGGCCGGGCTAAATTGAGGCGGCCTCACTTGTCCAGGTCCTCGCGGGCCACCGCCATGTGGTAGGCCGTCTCCAGCGTCAGGACGCCCCGGAAGAGCTGCAGCGCCAGCGTCACGTTGGCCTCCACGTTTTCGATGGCGTAGAGGGCGGAGCACACGCAGTCGGCAGCCGCCTCGTGCAGGTTGGTGGAGGTGTCGTCCCTCTGCTGCCGGCACAAAGGGGGGTGGGTTGGGGGCGTCGGCCTGGCGAGCGGCAAAGGCGGCGCGCGAACGAGCGGCGCTCGGCTCACCAGAACTTGGAAGAGGACCACCGGCAGTTGGTTGCTGGCCATGAAGTTGCCATCCAACACCCCCAGGTTGAACCAGCTGCCCAGGCAGCGAAAGACCTTGATCAGCATCTTCTCGCTGCTGCCCGCCTTCTCCACGCACGACGCCTGCAAGGACCGAGCCCGATACGTCAATGGATGGCGACGCCCTTTTCCCTTTGCGCCGTTCGCGCGGGGCGGCTCGGCGGCGGCGCGCCGGCCTCACCAGGAGCGTGACCACGGTGGATGAGTAATAAGCCAAGTCCTCGATGATCTCCGTCCTGCGATTGGCTCCGATGCGTAGCGAGCGGCTGTGGACTTCTTCGGGCAGCACGGTCAGGATCTCGATGAGGAAGGGCATGGAGCCCACGTCGCCGTTGTACCTGGCGGGGAGAGGCGGATGGATGCAAACCATTCCGGTCGGGGGGCGTCGCAGATGTTCATTCGCCAGCTGGGGAAATTCTCACTTTTCGATGAGCGTGTGCACGCATCCTTTCCACGACGCCATCTGAAGAGCGAGATCCGCAATGGCCAGCGCCAGCTGGGAAAAACAACAGACGGACAAACAAAAAAAGCAATCAGTCTGCCAAAAAGCCCCGCATCTCCATTCGTGAAAAGTTCGAGCGTTTCCCGAGAGAAAGCGACCGCCGCCGGCGAATTCCAAAACGGACGGCGGCGTGCCGTTGCCCGCTGGCCATCGGAGGCGCCGTACCTGCGTGACGATGATGGGCGACAGGCCTTTGAGGTTCTGGATATGCGAGAGCAGCGAGTCTCGCAGCGCGTTGTGGGAATCGGGAGGAAGCTCGTAGAAGGAAGTCTGGATCTTCATCTTCATGGTCTGAGCGGCAAAGTAACACGACTCCACGTCCTGCTGGAGCTGCAGCAGCTGGTCCGAGATCTCCCACGCGTACATCTGCAAAAGAGGCAGGCCTCGTGCCGTCAATCGTTGCCAAAAAAATGGCTTTCAAGGTGGGAAACTCAACGTGAGAAACGCAGAAATGTCAGCAAAAAAAGACGAGTTGCGTATCGGTCTTCCATCGCGGCGCGGAACACGTCGATCCCAATCAAGGGCGAAAGTGGCAAAAAGCGCAGCCGAAGGGAGCGCTGTCCGGTCCTGCCCGCTGGCTGGCTGCAAACGTTCTCGACGGCATTGTGGAGGCGAAGAGGCGTGCATACGTGCAATGTCGAAGCGACGCGGTGACCAACATCTCGGGCCTTCCAACGGGCACCGCGCCCATCGCGAGGCTCCGAGTGGCCAATTTGGGCACAAAGTCTCGCCAATGACACGCAGAAAAGAAACAGGCGGACGTTCGGATGCGCGGCCGAACTTTGCTGGTCGAGACGTGCCCTGCCTGCTCCAAGTCTTGAGAGTTGGGAACAAGTGACATTCAAGTGAAGAGTTCAAGACGACGACGACGGCGGCACTGTTTTTATTTGTTTGTTTGTTTGTTTGCCGACACCAACGGACGAGAAGAAGGAAGTGCGGCCGTCGCGCGCGGTCGAGGCCCCCCGGCTAAAAGAGGCGCGCGTGAGCGGCACCCTTCCCGCACGGCGAAGCGTCGGAATGCCAACTTGGCGCTCCGGTGGTCTCGTCGGGGACCTTTCCGAGCCCGCCGGCCTCGCTTCGCCGACGGGAAGGAGCTCGACTCGCCGACGGACTCGAGACGCGACTTGTGCGCACAACGTCAGCACAGCGGTTACATCCGCCATGCTAAGCGAAGCGGCCCGTGTCCGGCCGGCACGAAGGACCGGCGTGTCGCGGACGCCGCTTCACGCTCGCAAATACGCTCCGGATTCTCCGAAAGAGCGACCGAGAGGGCGAAATCCGGCTGCCAGCTCGTCTTGCGATTCATTCATTAGTCGCCGAGCCGAGCCGAGCCGAGCTTAGCTTAGCCCGCGTGCTAGCGGGCTTGCCCAAATCGCGCACTTGTTTCCGGGCCATTCCAAATCGTCGAGTCGAATGTGGAAAGGCAAAAGAATGGCGGTCGCCCCCGAGCGCGGCCCGGCCGTACCCCGCCTCCCCCCCAGTCCTCGTCGAGAGCCACCGCGGCCCCCGACAGAACGCCCGCACGCCCCGGTGAGCGAAATGTCTGTCCCCCTTTTTTTTTCCTACCGATCTCTGGAGCTCTCCGAGCCACAACGAAGCTCGTTCCTTCCCGGCCGGGTCCGGGTCGTGGTGCAGGGCCTGGACCGCCTGGTAGACGAGCGCCAGGCTCGGTTTGCCCCCGTCCATTGCTCGGCTGCGAAGCGGGAGCTGGGCGAGCACACAAGGCGACGAACGCGGCGCGAGTTCTAGATGTTGCGTGTGCCGACCGCCATCTCGCACGGGCTTCCCGCGTGTCACCCCCGCGCTCGCTCGGCGGCAAACGACGACCGCGACGTTGGTTCCGCTCTCTCGAGTCGCGCTGGGAAAGAAAAAAGAAAAAACAAAAACAAAAAACAAAAACCACCCACCCGATTGTGTCCCAAGACGGGCCCGTTTTTTTCGGGGACCCAGCACCGCATGTTCGGTAGTATCATCAAATCCAAAGAGTTGACGGAAGGGTTTGACTTGGCCATCATTTCAGCGAAAGCCACTTACGCAAGCAAGCTTGTTCTTCTTTCGCGGCCGCCGCGCTGTGCACTAAAAGTTCTATTTCGCCACAGGTTAGGGAATCGCAAAGTCTTTCTAAACGCACACGCGGATCGTGACTTCCTCCTGAGTGGTTTTTGAGATTCTTTTGCTTGCTCGGGCTCATTTTGAACACCCCGACAATTGATCTGGAAATACGGTATCCGTGTCAGTGTCATTTTAGCAAGTTCAATGTGGTTTTAAATGCAATTCTTGATGGAGTGGTGATATCATCTGGAGTGTCCCCAGGGGGCAACCCAAGTGGATGGCTTTGATTGATTTGGCGCTCTTTCAAGCGATCACGGAGTCGTTGACGTACGCGGCGCTCAGTTGCAACCGGCCCGCCCGCGGCTCGCGAGTGGGATGATCACTTTTTTGTTGGTTTGTTTTCATCGGAAGAATATTGACCTGCAAAATTTGGGGTTCATGACGAAGGGAAGGAAGTGTTCAAGGTTTTGCCCGTTCATTTTTTTGAAACGGGTCCTAAAAAAATACAGCGATACTGATGAAGTGTTTTCGCGATGCATTATGGAAAGATCATCATCTTTTGATTTTTATTTTGGACAATTACATCATCCCCTTTCCATTGAAAATAGACGGCTCGGCTTCAGCAACCACGCATGAGCGCTTCAAAACAATTTGCTGTTCTGAATTGGATGATGCTATTGGCTAAAGAGTGAGGTCGCAGGTGTCAATACACTCATCCAAAAATGTTTTTGCAGATTTGAAAAGGGACCCCGAGGGTCGCTTTACCACACGCACACACGCGCTCTGATCCAAGACGGTGGCACGAGCGTGCAAAGGATGCGTGCTCGCGCGCAGGTCTCGCTTGACGCGGTCTTCTGTTCTGAACCTGTTGGGGCGGGGCGGGGGGCTCGGAATGTCGGTTTCGGGTGGGGCGGCGGCAGTTCAGAGTCCTTGGATGCTTTGACTCTGGAGGAGTCTCTGGAGCTCCTTAAACTGCTCCACTGTCTGGTCCTTGACATCCGGGTTGGAGATCTGCAGCCGGATGCTGTCGATGGACCAGCTGTGCTCACCTGAGAACATTTCTGTTAGAATCCGGGCCACGACCGGAACCACCTGAGCACAACGACAACAACAACAAGGGGTCTTTGTGACAAAATGCCAAGCAAAAAGTCAAGTCAAGCTGTGAGCGAGGAAGCTCGGGGATTTGTTTTTTTTCCCCGGCTATTTGCGTGAGCCGTGTGCACGCGCACGGCCTTAAAAAGTTGCGAGGGCCAAGATGTTAGCGACCTTCTCATTCTTCGGACAGTCCTTGCCTCGCGTGAAAGTCGAGTGGCAACGTCAACGACATAGGAAAGATCACGTTGAGCAAAGAATAAAGGCCGCTTGGTTTCTCGGCGACGGTGGCGATCCCCGGCCTGACCCACGAAATGACGACGCCCTCTCGTCTTCAAGTAAGGACGGCGCCACGTGAAAGGAAAGGAAAGGACGGGTGCCCGGCCTGGCCCGAGCCTGAAGGAAAGGCCCACTTGGGCTCGGGATCCTCCCGTTTCGAGCATCGCTTTGCTTCCGAACCGAATGGTGTGGTATCCCCCACCCCAGCCCTGCCCTGAACGGGCCACTCCTTTCTGTCAGCGTGCACCCTGCCCTGAAGCGCAACCGAGGACCAAAAAAAAAAAGAAAAGCAGCGGCAGCAGCTCCCAAGCGATGGGAACCATGACCCGACACTCACGGACCTGGACCACAATGAGTTTCTTCTCTTTTGGTTTCTGATCGGGCCAGTCCTCCCCAAAGCAGAAGTAGATCTCGTAGGGCGGGGGATTCTGAGCTTCGCCCTTCTGGTACAAGATCAGTCCTGGAGAGAACACGGACGATGAGGAGGTTCGCTCGGTTGTTGCCCCCCCCGCCCCCCGATTTCCCCCTTTCCGTTTGTCACCTTGTAGGAAATGGCTGAGGCTGAACACTTGGACCCTCCTCTCCCTCTCCAGCCGATTGGGCAGCCCGCGATCGGGCGCGCCGGGTCCCGACCAGAAAACCTTGCACTGGCAGAGGCGGACGGCGTAGATGTCCTGCTCCCAGATTTCCAGGACCAGGCCTCGGTCCATCACGCTCAGCAGGGCCTGGGTGAAGTCGCGCTGCTTCTGGCTCGGGATCTGGCAAGCCCCCGGGAAGGAGACCTGCTGCAGGTCGACGGGTCCGAACAGCTCCACCTGCTGCGGGTCGGGCCCCAGCTGTCCGTAGAACAGCCGGCAGCCCCGAGGGTTGCTGACGGTCAGGGAACCCATGGCCCGCCCCCGGTATTCAAACTTCACTTCCAGATCCGTCGCTGCGGCGGCACAAAAATGTGAGCAAATCGCACGGGCTTCTCGGCGTCGACACGCAACGCCGCGCGACGCTTTCACTCACATGGGATGCTACCGAGCAGGTTGGCCGGGTCCACTTGGGCCCGGACCGCCGCGCCGGCCTCCGGGTGTTCAAAGCCGACCCCATCGAAGACCGGGAAATCCTGCCGGGGGGGCTCCGAGGTGACGGCGGTCGCCCGGAACCGGTTCGCGTCGCGGAGGGCCGGCGGAACGGACGCCGAAGAGGCGGCGTCGCGGAACCCGGACTCTGAAAGGCCACCGAGACGTCGGAAAGTGGCTTTCCGCGGCGACGGCCGACTCCGCTTACCGAGCGTCAGCTCCGTCAGGTCGGGCATCTGAAATACGATCCTCACGTTAGAGGGGGTCACGAAAACCACTTGCATTCACCACGCGCGATTTACCTCGTCATCGTCGGCGGCGGCGGCGGCGTCTGCGTCTGCGAGAGAAAGAAAAAAAACGCAGCGTCGACATTTCGGAGCATTTCGGCAGCGGCCGAACCGGCCGAGGCTTCACCTGTGTTGACCACCCGGTAAATTTTATAGGCTTGGAAGGGCGTCTCTTTGGTGCCGTCGAACTGCAGCTGAAACTCTTTGCTCTTGTTCAGCGCGCAGCGCAGGTTGGCTTTCCACTTGGCCGGGTCGGGATCGTCCACACCTTCCTGAAATTTGCCCGTTTCGAGGGCCCACGCCTGGATGCCGCGCAGAGAGAGAAAGAGAAAGAGAAACACGCACCAAGCGTTGGAGGAGGAAACGGCGAAAGAGGAAGTCGCCGTGTCAAACGGCGACGGTCCCACAGGAAGCGGATGCTCAAAGAAACAGAAGTGAAACTTCCCGCGGGCTTTCTTTCGGCCTCGCTTTGTGGGAGTTCTCCGACATCGGATTCACACGCGGGAAAAGGACGCACCTTGAAGATGGAGCTTTCCTCTTGACGCGCGGGCGCGCCGTGCGTGGCGTGCTTCCAGGGCATCTGGAAGAGTCGGCGCTCCGAATCCATCCAACGCAGGCCGGGGAAACGGCCGCTGTCCACCTGAGCCACGAGCCAAGGCTTCAGGCGCACCCGTCGAGCCGGCGCGTTCATGACGACGCTCTCGGAGGTGGCCCGGCTCATCCCGGCCGCGCGGAAAAGCCGGTCGGTCGCGTCGCGTCGCGTCGGGCGGGCGGGTGAAATTTCACATCGATTGAAGAGACGCGACAGATGACGCTTCGGAGCGTTTCGAAAGGATCGGCTTCAAGCGTGCGCGAGAGCAACGTACCCCGGCCGCCGCCGCCGCCGATCCTCGGGTCGCCGCTGGCCGAACGCGCTCCTTCCTCAACCGCGGCAACAAAGCGAGCGGCCGCCGCGGACAAAGTCGACTCCGCCCCGGCGTCGTTCTCCGCGCGCCGATGACATCCGGTTAGAGATTGGCAGGCCGTCAAAATAAGAGCTCGAGCGCACCGCCGATTGAAGAAGGAAATGGTGTCGGTCCCACGTCTGGTCATGCCCGCTTGTCGCGGTGACGCACCGAGACGGAAGCGAGTCCAGAACGGGAAGTGAAACTCAGCCCGACGCCAAGGACGCGCCGCAGGGCCGCTGCTCATTCTCTCCTGCCGTCAACAAACCTTTTGAGGGCTCTCTTGTGCCGGGGTGGCGGGCAGCTCTAGCCCCCCCACCAAGTCAGAATGACACGGCTGCTTCGACAAACGGGCCGACGACTGCTCGTCATCGGCACTTGCCGTCCAAAAGTTGTAAAAACATCAAAGCGGATGTTTGTCAAAGGCGTTTTAATGCCCAACTATCATCGCGTATTTCGTCGGTCCCAGAGAGGCCTCCTCCTCCTCCTCCTCCTCCTCCTCCTCCTCCTCCTCCTCCGC